TGGCGCGTAGGTATACCACACGTGGAAGTACGACGCGTAGGAATACCATGCTTGAAAATACGGCGCGTAGAAGTTCTATGCGTGGAAATACGGCGCGTGAAGATACAACGCGTGGGAGTATGACGCGTGAGAGTACCACGCGTGGATATACGGCGCGTGAGAATACCACGCGTGGATATACGGTGCGTAGGAATACCACGCGTGGAAAATACGGTGCGTGGGAATTCCACGCGTGAAAATACGGCGCGTAGAAGTTCCATGCGTGGAAATACGGCGCGTGGAAGTATGGCGCGTGAGAGTACCACGCGTGGATATACGGCGCGTGAGAATACCACGCGTGGATATACGGCGCGTAGGAATACCACGCGTGGAAAGTACAGTGCGTGGGAACTCCACGCGTGGAAATACGGCGTGTAGAAGTTCCATGCGTGGAAATATGGCGCGTGGAAGTATGGCGCGTGAGAGTACCACGCGTGGATATACGGCGCGTGAGAATACCACGTGTAGGGATACCACGCGTGGAAAATACGGTGCGTGGGAATTCCACGCGTGGAAATACGACGCGTAGAAGTTCTCTGCGTGGAAATACGGAGCGTGGAGATACAACGCGTGGGAATACAACGCGTGGATACACGACGCATAGGAATACCACGCGTGGAAAATACTTTTGCTTCAATTTGCACAATGATTATACACATTCTGAAACAGTAATTCTGGGAATTAATATAACAGATAGATTAGTTGACGACGAGGTATCAGTTTGATGGAAATTACGATCTCGGAATCTGTTTAAGAAACAACCATTTTTCGTGTCGTTTCGGAGGGAACATGACGGCGACAGGATTCAGGTCGATGGCAGGTTTTTCAACGGGCAAAAAGCAGCTAGTAAAACAAGCGAAGTGTGATCGGTTATGGCAGAGGGTATGGGGCACGGTCGATCGAGGGGGTGGTCAATGGGGATTGGCGAGCAGCTCGTCTGCTCGGTGAACCGTGGATTAAGATAAACCCTTCATCGGTTTCTTGTCGAACGATTCTTCTCCCACGTTGCTTGCCGCAATGGCGAAGATAGCACTGGCTTAAAAGCGCTCTTAGTCATTTTCTTCGAAATTATTTAACGTTATGTATTAACACGTTCACATACTTCACTTAATAAGGATACCTTTGGTACATATTATTAATTATTACAAAGATCATGTTTGTAAATTAATGTGGCTGAAGGAAGAGAGATCTAATATGACTGGCTTTTAACAAAATCAAATATGATCAAGTTTTTAACAAACCCAAAATGATCAATTTGAAACAAAATCGAATATGACAAGTTTGATAAAAATTTGCTTACAAACTTGTCATATTTTATTTTGTTAAAAAATTGATCATATTTGATTTTGCTAAAGACTGGTCATATTTGATTTTGCTAAAGACTGGTCATATTTGATTTTGCTAAAGACTGGTCATATATGAAACTGTTGAAAAGTGAAGATTTATTTTACAACACATATGATTGAACATCAATTGACAGTCTGCACAAAAATGATACACTTGTAGCAACACGAAAGATATCGAGTAGCCCAATTAATTCAAGCAAGATTACCACGCTACTTCGAGATAGCTAACTGCGCATCGTCGATTAATAATTATTCTGTTTAACCACGACCATTACAGGCGCTAATTATCGCGATCTTCATCGCGATGTTATCGCGCCTTTCTTTCTTCTGACTCCCGGGAACGACAAACCCTTCCGGTCCCGTGCTGCCTCGCTTTTCAACAACAAACTTCTATGCGTGGAAATACAACGCGTGGAAATACGACGTGTACATCTCCTCTAAAATCAAGTTCACCACAAATCAAATCATCTCCCAAATCTCTCAAACTTCATATCCCTCGATGAAGACATTTGCAAAAGAACCACCCAAACAGTTCTCCCTCTCAGTCCTCCGTATACCAATAGCCCCGGTAATTTCCCGGGTTCCATAACCTCGCAATGTTCGTATAAAAACCGCGTGGTTAGCTAAGGGTAGTAGTCTGCAGCGTTATACGTGTTTGGCGGCGGAAGCAGCGGCATGATAGCCCGTTTAACCCATCCACCCCCTTACGCCACTGTGCAACTTGTTTTCCCTTGTTCTCGTCTTCCTTTTTGGCAAAGCTTCAACCCCCGCCGCGAAAGGGTTGCTCAAGGTACATGGACATTACGGACGGCTATGTCAAGGCTTGGCTTTCTGCTCGCTTAAGAAATGACGTGTTTGCCGTTGGCCGTCGAAGGGAACCCATAACCTGTCCGACGGGCTGCCACCCGCCTCGACAGATACGCTACGAAGTCACTATGTTGCGCACCATCACCACCGCGATGTGGAGCTCCGGAGAATGACGTTGGTGACACTGACGCCACCCTGATCGACGGAAAAAACTCTACCGGTCGATCGATGGATCCGTCAAATGGATTTCGAGGCAGGGATTATTTATGGGCTCGATCCGAAGATCGTACGGTGACGGGACGCTTTTTGGAGATGCGTTAAGCTGCTGCTATGCAAGGTTTCGTTCTTTTTTTAGTGGGGAGAATGCGGAGCAGCGGAAGTAATTGTAGAGGTGGTTTTGATTGATATGGGTTTTGGTTGTTCATTGCTGAGGACGTGTTGTGTAAAGGGTACTTATTGTGGGGAATTAGGGAGCGTGGAAGTGCGGAGCGTGGAAATACGGCGCGTGGAAATATGACGTATAGGAATGTTCACTCGTGGAAATACAACATGTAGGGTTTGGATGTGTGGAAGTAGGATGTGTAGGTATTCGACGCGTGGAAATACAAAATGTAGAAATTTAGAGAGTAGGAATACGATGCGTGGAAATATGGCGCGTAGAAATATTGACGCGGAGGAGTACTGATGAGTGAAAATATGGCGCATGGAAATATGATGCGTGGGAGTACCTATGCGTGGAATTACGATGCGTAAGAGTATCCTCGCGTGGGAGTACCTACGCATGGAATTTTGGCGCGTGGAAATACGGGGTGTAGGGATATCTACGCGTGGAAATATGGCGCGTGAGAATATCAACGCGTGGAAATATGACGCGTGGGAATACCTATGCGTGGAAATACGGCGCGTGGAAATACTACGCATAGGGATTATGCGTGGAAATACGGCGTGTGGAAATACTACGAATAGGGATACCTACGCGTGGAAATACGGTGCGTGGAATAACAGCGCGTGGAAATACGGTGCGTAGGGATATCTACACATGGAAATATGGCGCGTAGGGATATCTACGCGTGGAAATACGGTGCGTAGGGATATCTACGCATGGAAATATGGCGCGTGGGAATATCTATCGAACGACGCCTTAACATCGAACTCGTAGTCATCGATAAATTTAGATCGTGTTGATTCGCGGATCGATTTGTGAATAAATTCTCATACAAAAGTTAACACTTTGCAAATGGCGCGTGGGGATACCTATGCGTGGAAATACGGCGTGTGGAAATACTACGAATAGGGATACCTACGCGTGGAAATACGGTGCGTGGAATAACAGCGCGTGGAAATATAGCGCGTAGAGATATCTACGCGTGGAAATATGGAGCGTGCAAATACAACGCGTGGGAATATCTGACGCGTGGAAAAATAGCGCGTAGGGATATCTACGCATGGAAATACGGCGCGTGGAATAACAGAGCGTGGAAATACGGCGCACAGGGAATACTAACGCGTAGAATTTCGCTGCATAGAAATACCTAAATCCTAAACCCCAAAAATGCTATTACCGCACATAAGCAAATGAACACAAACCTAAAAGTCCCCAACGCAATTTTCCTGTCGTCCAACGATAAATCAGCAGCGACCACTCGCTTAACGACAATGGAAGCCGAGAAAACTGTTCAGCGCCATGACAGGCTGTGTCATTACTGCGTTACTTATAAGCTCGTTCGCGGCCACGTGTACCGAATACGAATGAGGGAGAGCGTGGTGCTCGGCGTGGATACGTCGATTACAAAACCCAATGTTCGAAAAAAGCACGATTCTATGGCACGCCACGTATGCGAGCGATACAAGGGCCGTTTGGACAGTCGTGCGACTATTAATTGCCCATTAACATGCACGTTGAATATCGATCGATCGATCGGTACGTGGAAAACGCGCGTTTCTTTTGCATCCCCTCGACGCGAGTCAAGGCTTGAAGAACATTAACGCCGATGGTCTTAGCGCGTTCGTCGTGATTTGTGGACTTGAGGGTGAAATATACGGGGTGCTCTGTAATTATCGATTAGCTGTCTGCACTTGAAGGTTGCACTGTTGATATTTTTGCTGTTAGTACCTGTTGAAGGTATTTTTGCTTAGAACTTGAGCTGGAAAGTTTGCTGAATTCTTTCAAGATTTCTTTAGTATTAATTATGTGTTGTCTGTTTCTTTTATACATCATATGTGGAGGTTCATACATCATATGTGTAATGCTGAAGATTTAGTTAAAAATATTTTTTGAAGTTATTGAATTGAATGGTGAATGTGTCTCCTGTTGAGTGCAAAGAGTCTCATCTAATAATTTTGATGTAGGTTAGTCATCGAATTAGTAATAATTAGTGCTACACATACGGAAGATGCATGGTTATAGTCGTGAAATTTATTTCAGTACTAAAATTGTGATCATAAAAAAATGATAGTGACGCGCCATATTTCCACGCATCAGTATTCCTACGCGCTGGATTTTCACGCTTCAATATTCCCACGCGTCATATTTCCACGCGTAGATATTCTTACGCCCCATATTTCCACGCGCCGCATTTCCATGCGTAAGTATCCCTACGCGCCGTATTTCCACGCGTTGTATTTGGACGCTTCATATTTCCACGCGTAGATATCCCTACGCGCCATATTTCCACGCGCCGCATTTCCATGCGTAAGTATCCCTACGCGCCATATTTCCACGCGTTGTATTTGGACGCTCCATATTTCCACGCGTAGATATCTCTACGCGCCATATTTCCACGCGCTGTTATTCCACGCACCGCATTTCCACGCGTATGTATCCCTATTCGTAGTATTTCCACACGCCGTATTTCCACGCATAGGTATCCCCACGCGCCATTTGCAAAGTGTTAACTTTTGTATGAGAATTTATTCACAAATCGATCCGCGAATCAACACGATCTAAATTTATCGATGACTACGAGTTCGATGTTAAGGCGTCGTTCGATAAATAATCCCGAGTGCGGTCATAAAAAGCGGGTTATCTGCGGCACGTAATGCACACCGATACGAATATACGGCCGGTATATTCAAACCGTGTATTTCCCTTTTTACACGAACGTTCGATAAGAACGATAAAGCTTACAACGATAACGTATGTACATAAGCAAGTGAATTCGATTTTTCCATATCCGAATCGATTAATCACTCTTATTGATTCCGCTCGGCGTACCCCGTTAATTGAAAACAAACGAACTGAGCAGCTCTAAAATAGACACATTTCCTGTGTTCATTTTTATTAAATATATTCGTATCGGAAGGGATAAATATTCTCGACAAATGATTGTTTCAGATATTACGGTGGATAATCGTTAAGATAAATGCGCGTGTCTAGCAAAACTGTCCGAAGTGTAAAACTGAGAAACGATATGACTTCCAATTAAAACCTCTCCCAAGCTTTTGCCGTTTCTACGCTCCCCTCTTCATCCCCTCTTTGTTCCCTAAAACGGCATTCAAGCATCTGGCATCGTTAATTAATCACGAATATTTATTGCGTACTCGCATGCTCATCCGCCTTAGTCTATCTCGAGGCAATTAGCGAAATTATTACATGAAAAGCAGAGAAAAAAAATGTGTGCGATTCTTCTTGGCATGGCAGCTCGATTCACTGGCCCGTGCTTTCAACGCGTCGTCTCGCTGAAAGAACTCCAACATCCGATCGTATCCTTGCTATAATTACCTCATTAATACCGTATTAATTCCCTTTATTCAATTTTTACATTAACTTCTAAACTCCTCCTCGGTTCTGTATCTTTCAGGTCCAATTTTTGTCAGGAGAACAGGAGAGTCGTGTGCTTTTAATTTCAATGAGATTTTTTAGGCGATTTCATTCTGTCTCAGTCAATTTGACATTCAATGTACTTTTATTAAATATTCAGTGTAATTCAATTTTGTTGTTATGGTTCCTCTTCGATCATGGTCCCTCTTCGCTGTGTTCATCGAGTCTAATCACTGTGTGATTTTATTCAGAGTGGTTCAGTGTACTCGGTTAACATCACAAGTTTTATAATAATACACAATTTCTCTTTAAACAATTTAACATTACACAATTGCTGTTAGGTCACTTTATAATAAATTCTAACAAAAAAAAGTAGTACATTAAAATACTCTGCAACAAAATCTCTGAAGTTCTAAAAGAACATTTTTATCAGTAACAAAGATATCTGATTAATAATGAAGATTATTATATAACACAAAATAAGTTGACAAAATATGAGACAAAGCAAGGAAGACGAAGAACAGATGTTTTTAAGACGTTCTAACGGAAGATTCAGCAGGTGATACATCTGAAAACTGTGTATTATAAAATGTCGGCTGATTTATCGGTAGATTTCCATTAGAGCAGCATTTTCTTTCACGGGATCGTCGTTCATCGACGTTTCGAGGTCAGCAGACGGACATGGACGACGGACGAGGCAGGACAAGTACACCGATAACGACAAACTGGCCCGAGAAAAACCGTGGCCGAGCGATAAATCAGGCCTATTGCATTCCTAAGATAGCGAGCTGCCTGAAAGTCATTACGCTGGCAAAAGTAATTCCCAACTAAGTAAGTAAAGCAATAAATACATAATGCATCCGGCAAGTTTCCCACACGCGCTGTTCCATGAAATCATGCATCAGGGACCATGCTGAGTATCGCGGATTTATTTACGCCGATCGACGCAATTCGTCGTTTACTTCGTTCGTTAAAAAATTCGTGTCATTTGGGACAATTTGAATGGCAGAGGTTTTTACGATTGAATGCGAGCTTTAATGGTTAGAGTTAACTATTAACTTGACGCTGGTCACTGTTACTATTGATTAGTGGTCTTTGAACTGTACGTTTCTTGTATACGTTTATGTTGGTGTGCAGTTTTTAGGTTAGAAGTGGAGTATTGAAGAAATGAAGTGATAAAAGAAATAATACGGTGCTTGGGAACTCTAAGCGTGGAAATATGGCATATCGGGATTCCACGCGTGGAGATATGGCGCGTGGTGATACTATGCGGGGAAATATGGCGCGTGGATATACAACTCGTGGAAATACGGCGCGTGGAGGTACAACGCGTGGAGGTACGGCGCGTAGGAGTACCACGCATGGATATACGGCGCGTGGAGATACAACGCATGGAAGTACGACGTGTAGGAGTACCACGCGTGGATATACGGCGCGTAGGAATACCACGCGTGGAAAATAGGGTGCGTGGGAATTCCACGCGTGGAAATACGGTGCGTAGGAATACCACGCGTGGAAATTCGGTGCGTGGGAATTCCATGCGTGGAAATACGATGCGTAGAAGTACCACGCGTGGATATATGGCGCGTAGGAATACCACGCGTGGAAATTTGGCGCGTGGGAATTCCACGCGTGGAAATTTGGCCGTGAGAAGTCCACGCGTGGAAATTTGGCGCGTGGAAATTTGGTGCGTGAGAAGTCCACGCGTGGAAATTTGGCGCGTGGAAATTTGGTGCGTGAGAAGTCCACGCGTGGAAATTTGGCCCGTGGGAATTCCACGCATGGAAATTTGGCGCGTGAGAAATCCACGCGTGGAAATTTGGCGCGTGGAAATTTGGTGCGTGAGAAGTCCACGCGTGGAAATGCGGCGCGTGGAGATACAACGCGTGGAGATACAACGCGTGGAAGTACGGCGCGTAGAAATACCCCACTACGAATGTATACATGACGCTATGTGTAGAACGCACCAAGGGTTAATAAGGTTACTTGCTCTTCTCAAAATAGCAAGTTGTACTCAACAGTAATGAACAAAATAATGCCCCATAAAAAGGCAAAGTTATTGTTCCGAATATTTAAATTTTAAATTCAGCAATTGAACGATGAGATTGTACATTAGCATGTATTTAAAGTAACAAGTATCTGAATAAAACATAACGAGTGGAATAACAGTACAGTTTTTCGTATTCCAATTACGAATGGATTTTTTTAATATTTTCCAGCAAGAGCGGATCGCACGACGAAGAGAAGTAACATTGTAGCTAATTACACGAAAAATGTTCTGAACAGGGAACAAATCAAAAGCTGGGAATCTTGATTTCCCTAATTAACAATCCCCGGTAGTCTCAATTACCCGATCCCTTTTTAATATTGCATGAGTGCATACCTGAGGAAAATAAAATATTTGCATACAGCTCGAAATTTCAGGTTGTTTCTCACGCCCATGTAAATGGCCGACTCTTGCCAGAATCCAGTTTTTCGAGAGGTTAACCTTGTTACCGTTTCAAACTTGAAAAGGTCTAAACATTGCAAAATTGTGTACTATAAATTTCCTAAAATTTAAACAATTTATATTTGCCGCACATTAAAAATAACTAAACTATAACTACATCAAAAGAATGAATCTAAATCATTCCTAACCTAAAAGTTTCCTAACCTAACCCAAAAAGATCGCCGCTAAAGAGGTTATGCCACCATAAAATGGTGTCTGACCGATGATAAACAGTTTCTACTGAAGTTAAACCTTGTATCGACCACAATTAACAAGTGCAATAAAAAAATGATGAATGAGTTTTTAAACGACTTAAACACACAGAGATTGAATAGAAGAAAATACAAATGAATTCCCGGAGTTCTAACAGAGACATAAAACGAGATCTGATAATTCGCGAATGATAAAGTTCACGTAAATCTGCCACTCATAAAGATCACGATAAGGAATAATTAGAAACGGAATGAATTGAAATTCGGTGAACTTCCGAGGCACTTAATTATCTTAACAGTGAAGTCATCTTATCGGAGTGCGTATTTATACAAGATTATAAATTGATAATACTTAAAAAAGTGATGCATTGCATGCAAAGATAGTCATACTGAATCAGAGATATCTGACACTTTTCAATAAGTTTCTTCGATGTTATTTATTTTTATCGGTACTTGAAAATGAAAGGATGTATTCTGCGTGTTAGTTTAAATCATTTCACGTGCATGGAAGATGATTTGTTAATTGGTTATTTACCACGTGTTGAATTACCACGCGTGGTATTACTACGCGTCGAATTATCATGCGTCGAATTACTACGCGTCGAATTACCACGCATGGAATTACTACGCGT